AATTAACTGTATTTGTGAATTGGATTTAAACTCATCTGAAAATCAAACCTAATTATTATCTGCTGTTAAAGCTCTGATTTTTTTGACAGATCCTTTGTAATTATATCACCTGAATCATCAACCTTCTTACTTTGCAGTAATTGTTATCATCTATCGTCTATTTATTTTGCATCCATCACTCCTTTTGCCTTACTTGTTCTTTTGTATCTTTCTCCACACATTATCTGTATTATGCAGTAGCTCAGTTCAAACTGAGTGGGTGTAAACTAGCGGCGAATAAAAGTTGTATTTTTTGCATAATCTTGCAAACAACAGGCACCAACAGTGACCCCACACCTCCATGTTGTTCATGCCTTGAGGAATAACAACATGCAGTAGGTTTATTTTGTGTGTGGCTAATGGGTCTGGACTGCAGATAGACAAAGCATCCCATGGTAAACAAGTCATTGCCCTAAAACCCACCTACAATGTAAGATTCAACATTTATGCAGACTCTGCAGATGTGTTAATACCCAAATTCTAAACTTTCACTGCAGGTGCTCCCTTGGCAATCATGACAAAGCAAACTCTTCGTGCAACAGTGTAGGGTTGTAAATATTTAGAACATTGTAGTGAAGGGTTTAATTGTTGGGCCAGTTTTAAATATACATTTCCATTGTAGTCAAAACTGTCCCTGGTTTGTTTGTGGCCAACATATGTTGTTTTTATATGCAAATAAACAAAGAATAATTTATTTAAATGTTGTTGTTTTTTCTCATGACAACTTTGCAGTTTCAGACGGTTTGTACCCAAGTTTTGAGGTATAGAAAGCTACCTTCCTGATGATCTTCTGTAAATGTATTTGTAGTCTCCTACAAAGTGATGTGGCTGTGTGAAAGTAATATGGCTGAAACAATTGGATTAATTATGAATAACTATGATAAAACAACGGTTAACTAATATAGTACTTGATAAATCATTAACTAGATTATTCAGACCCTAAAACATTCCATATGCTAAAGAACAGATCATCCTGTGCAGCAATTAATCCAAAACCGGGTAAAAGTTATTCATTTTGTATTTAAGATGAAAAACCTTCTTTGTCTGTAAATATTCTCTAACCAGAACACCTGGATGTTATTTCTGAACTGAGTTAGATTTCACATGTGTTAGCTATTCACAATGAATTAAAAATGTGCACCAAAAAAAAAAAAAGAAAAAAGTTTACTAAGGTATGTTTATTTCTAATATATATGTATATATTTTCAGATTTCTCGATTATTCTACAAGATAAAAAAGATTAATTGATTACTAGAATAATCAAAAGGCGCAGCCCTAGAATCTGATAAACAGATGACGATTGTTAAATTGGGATTTGTCAGTTTTTATACATTTATTTATGTTTTGTATCTGTACTACCAATCCCTCGGCAAAGTAGACTAAGAGGAAACTGATTAACCAAATGTGCACAAAGGTTTTGCTTATGTAAATACAAAAAACAAATAGAATACAGTTATGGTAATTGTTAGATTTAAATGTATAGTGAAGGAGTTTGGCAAATTTTTTAAAACTTTTTCCACTCGAAAAATAAAAAATGTACATGCACAACCCCATACCTGCTCCTGAGAGGCAACGCCTATTAAACGCATGCAAGAGCATGCACAAGAAGAATTGCAGTTTTTCCACTATGTCAGACTCACCACTGGTAAGTGCAAATGGAGATGAGCACGTAGGACGGCTTTACGTAAACACACCACCAGAATGATTGACAATTAGGAGGACCACTTATTTTGATGATCCACCCAGAAAAAAAAAGCATCCTCCACTATACCTTTAATATAATAAATCCTTTTCTCAAAGTTACCTGCCAGTATACTTTTCACACCATTCAAAACCTCATCGCCTACCATGTTTTTTCACACTAAGTTATCTGTGTAGTTACAATAAATTACATGTTTGTCTATGGTAATTTTCTGTTTCTTCCATGTTTGTCAAATAAGAATTTGTGGGTGTGGGGGTTGTTTGCCCAGGACACCAAAAACAAACTAGAAACGCCCCTGGGTCAGAAGCTAATAGAAGGGCCATCCTGGTACCAACGAAAAGCTGCTGCACAGAGTGGCAGAAAAGTTGAGGTAATAATCAATCCCCCCCTTTTCTGTCTTTTGTAGATCTTGATACATGTGCTTATTGTTTCAAAAGCCAGGTCTCTCAATTTTTGTTAGAGACACCCAATTTTAAAGCTAATGTGATCAGAGCTTTTAAAATGCTGTTGCAATGCTTACTGAGAATGTAATTTATAAATACAATGAATTTACTTAAATTCAAATTATCATAAGATATACACTAAATAATACAATCAGAAGTTTAGGAAGAGGACTTTGATCCTATGATCCCATAACAAATTGTGCACATATTTGTACGATCATGCACCTAAATCATCAGAAGATTATGTGTTTCTCTGTTTTGCCTTTAAAATTTCACACAAACACCCATCCCCCCCAAAAAACAAAGCACTTGAATACTAGGCTCTATATTAAATGTATTGCAGAGAAACATGGATGTAAGCATGTGTAAAATCCAAAACATCAGTGACAAAAGTGGCAAAAAAAGGTGTGCAGATTAAAGCCAAGACATGAAAGTGAAATTTGCAATGCAGTATGTGGGACTCAGCAGTGAAATGGTTTGAAGAAGGGTACAAAAGACAGATCTACATTTAAAAGCAAGCAAATCATGGCAGGGAAAGGTTACCTATGCTGAGGTGCTTGCAAAGAGGTGAGGGTTTCTATGGATGAGCAAAGACTAAAAGAGATAAGTGTTGGTGAAAAACTGAGAGCCTGTGGGGATGCTCCGTCTACGGCAGCGATACGGGGCTCAGACAGCGGATTAGTGTTTCTGCTCCATAATCAATTTGCTGTCTGGATCCCAATGCACACAACCCTAACCATCCGTTTGTTGCTTGATCCTCTAAAATATTCCTTTCCTCTGTTTTAATTTTCCAATACCAGCATGTTTTTTCCTTTTAGTTTACTTCTCCCTCAAATTGTCAGAAAGCTCAATGAACATCAACCTGGCCTGAATGTACCTTTGCAGTTTCATTTTTGTCAACTAAATAATTCAGGGCTTTACTTTAGACAGAGTTTCTACTCCAATGATGTCTCATTTTTAAAATGAACTATAATGGATTTTTCAGAGGTCTGCAGTTCTGAGTGAAATGGGTTGTTTGGGATTAATAATATCAGTGTGTGTATGTGTGTTTTTAAAGATGCAGGATTCAACCTTTCTAAGGGCAGACCATTAGCACCGTCTCACCCTTGGGTCCAACCTGGCTGCCATCTGCCACAGCGCTTAGGGGTCATAATACAGGCAGAGCAATCAATAACATATTACATGTTGGCATAGTGTGCCAGACCTGGTCATGACTTTCGCTGGTTAATAAAAGCGAGATGAATTAAACTCCACAGAGAGGAAATAAGAACAATTTCCCCACAAGCAGGCAGCTCAGCAAAAGGACTAAAAGGTGATATCAAAAATTCAATTTTTTACTGCCAGACATGAAAACATATTTCCCAGAAAACTGTGTATTTATTTTTTTCTTTGTTTGAGGCTTTCACTTTGAAGTCTAAAGAAGCATACGGTTCTTTTTCTATAAGAACAGATGCTCTAACATTTGCTCACGGCATCTAAGTTGCTGTCTTTTATGTATATGTTTGTGTCTGAGTGTGAAGGCGGTTGAAATTGTTTCAGGAGAAAGCCCATAAAGAGGCCTAATGACGTAAACACAGATTGTTGCCAATGGGGTTTCTGATGCAAGTAAAGAAGGTACAAGGCTTTCCACTTTCCCTGGATATCTATTTCAGAGTCTAAATAAACTTAGAAATTAAAAGAAACAATAAAAATATGTTCATAATGAACACGGTTTAGGCTAACGCTAACCCTTGCAGCTCATGGGTCAGTAATGGCCGCCCTTTCTACGTCTCGGTACCCTTGAAGTGGCCCTCAGCCTTAAAAAGGTTGGTGACCCCTGTCGTAGAGCCTCTTCCTGCTCACGTTTTAACGAAAACCCCAAGTCTAATCCTTCCAAAACTGATTCCAAAGCTGAGTCAAATGAGAATGTTCAATAGTTGTTGCCATCTTCCTTGTTGTGCTTTCTCCACCGTCGTGCAGCTTTGTCGTCCCGCCCTCAAAACCCCGCCTGCTTTGCATCCAGAAATTCAAAACACATCTCTGCGTTGTGATTGGCCCGCCAGTTCTAAGGTTTGGCGCATTGATCGAGGCTAGACCAAACTGGCAGGCAAAAATGATTTTGGCCGCTGGCCAATGGGGCTAGTTTACTAGGTTACGTCAAAGCATATATAAACCTAAAATACTACCACTATCCTCAACTACTGTATCTATTATAGTATTATTTTTATGGTTTTCTGTTCTGACTATACACACACATTAGCTCATAGTGTTGAGGCAGAATGTTAAACAGAGGGAGAAATAAAGTTAAAAGTTTCATTCTAAAAGAGCATGAAAAATATGATACAGATGCTGGGCTGCATAACCAGGTCTAAGAAAAAAAACTGAAATAGCAACAATATAAGAAGGTGTGAAGAAAATAGAAAAACAAAGACTGTGCCCTGTAAATGACACAACAGCTTTTTGAATGCACACGAAACAAGCATGCACAACCTCTCCCTGCCAGCCGCTGTTTTTTGCAGAGGTTTTATCTGATTGTTATCAGTACTGCAAAAATGTGACCCCCAAACCTTCTGTGATCAGAAAGGTTTGGGGTGAGGTAGGCTTGATGTGGCTGCAGGGAGTTTCTCAGATGTTTGAAGGTAAAGCTGACAGCTGGGACTGTTTGAGGAAGCGAAAAAAAAAATGTGTGTATCTCTGGGTTTTAGTGTGCAACATGAATACTAGTCAGCTTCACTGTGCATGTTGCATCAAAAGCCCAAACACAGAAGGGTCCTCTTATTGTAACACCTACTACTGTGCTATAAAAAGGTGAGCATGAATCACACTGGCAGTCTTACCTTGGCCTGGCTTCAATGTTGTGCTGAAAACAATGAGAAGGAAAGGAAGAAGGGGATGGGGAGGGACAATGAGACAAAAATATTAGTACAGATGCTGAGAATAACAAAACAAATTAACAAAGACAGATAGCAAGTATCATATTACCATCTGGTGAGCGTTTAATTCAGATCAATTATATTTCACTTTCAGTCACCAGTTGTGCTCATGTTTATTCATGCTTAAGTGTTTTATAGGGGTGATTTGTTACAAAGTATCAGTGAACTGCAGAAATATTCATGGGCTTGCTTGACGATTATTTTTGTTTGAGTGAAAGTATTTTATTATTTCCTTTTTCTAACCTCTCAACTTGTTTTTATAAAAGAAAAAGGTCATATTACACTAACAATCTCATTTTCCTTATTATTATTGGTGACTGCTAGGAATGACGCAAAAACAACAAATGCACAGATGTCACAAAGACCAACATCGACATTAAGAGGTGTTTCATTTCTTTGTACTGCTTGCCTTATTTATATTTACTCTGCAGGATGCAAGTATCACAGCTCATAAAACCTCAAGATGCTTAACATTGAGAAAAATGCTTAAATACTATTCTAAAACCCTTTGCTACAATAGATTAACATGTCTCGGTTATCCTTCTTTTGTGTTATTCATTTGGTTTAGAGCAGCTGGGTCACTTGGAGCAGACATGAAAAGGACAATCTTTAGTAGCAGCCAAAGGAATCAGCCCGGGTCTGCCCTTATAACAGCTGCGACAAAGAAATCCAGCATTGAATATATTAATAGCACAGTTATAAATATTCATTATGAGGAAGAAAAAAAGTGCATCATCACAAAAGTCAGAAGGCTTCTGTGGTAAATGGCCTACCTTTATAATCTTATACCGCTGCTCAATCAAAGCAAAGCAGATTTCAACGGAAACTGAGTCAGGGTTATTGCTTTATCTCATTTTGGCTGAAAAATGAAACACACAAACTGGGTCTTCACTTTTTTTGGCAACTTTTATAGCTTGAAAAATTGTTGCGCTCCTGCTTTTCCAGAAATAATCACAGTTAGAAGGAAGTGTACAGAACCTCTTCTATAATACACACTCAAACATGCGCATGAAATAATAATTGATGTAGACAGAGTGAAACGTTAATAGGAAAAGTAGCTGACAGTAATAAACCGGGCAATTCAAAATGATAAACAGACTTGGCAGTCTTTGCAATGTAAAAATTGACAGTGATAAATCTTTTCAAAACTATTATAATATGTGCTGCACTATTGAAGTTAAAAACAAATTCATTACGACAAAAGAATTACAATAAAAGCTGCACTAACCTTTTTGCATGAATGTGTACAGCTGTGATGATGTACCTTAGATTCAATATTTTGCACTCTTTTGCATGTTCATCTGTTAAAGCAAATCTTTTTAACTTTAAATAATCATTGTCATCATAGGATTTTCCCAACGCTGAGGCCCTCTATCTAAGGCAAATTTTGCAGATAGGAGACGAATAAGCCAAAGAATGAGGTAGAAAGGTATAATTCGGGAGAAGAGTGAAGAAAAGTCCTGCTAAAAGAACACCAAAAATTGTTGGAATTCCCAAAAAATAGATTATGTTTCTACATGTAAGAAAAAAAAAAAGTTTTTTTGTTATACGTTTATTTAAAATGTAGGGTTTATAAATCATTGAAATCTTTTCTACAAAGAAAACAAGTACATCCCCTTGGACTCTCCTGGAGCTATGTGGCAGAATATGAAAAAAAGGAAATATTTAGGTTATATAATGTATGTTCAGCATAAACAAAAACAAAAAAACAACAGAATTACTGAAATGGAATGATAATTTTCTTTAGATGTAACAGATGTTTCTGTCATGTAGTATAAAGTTAAAAACAGGTCCCTGTGAGAAAGACTTACTCAGAGGAAAGGGAACATATTTCAATAGCTTGGCAAAAACTGTGTAAATCTTATAGGATATCTGTAGGAACATCAGAGGAGGGCTGTGGGCAAAATGTCTCCTCCAAGTCTGAAAGAATGGAGACAAACTGGCAGAATTTGCCAAGGATTGATGTAAGATGCTGATGGCCTGAATTAAAGATTAACAAATGCAGAAATACTATCAAAACAGGCTTTTATGAGGGCTGGAACAATTAATCGGATTAATTGTGATTAACTGATTATTGAAATAATCGTCAAGTAATTTAAATAGATTACTCGTTGCAAAAACTCCTCTTTAAGGAACCTTTTGCTATTCGATTATAAATTGAATAATCAAAAAAATATTCGACAGATTAATGGATTTGCAAAATAATCGTTAGTTGCAGCCCTAGTGCAAATTGGAGTTGTAAAATATATATTATTTTCGGTAAGGTTTTAAATGATATATCATGGTTTTGTAAACACCCGTTTTTTTAACAGATGCATGTCTTGTTCTGCATCAGATTATTTAAAATATTCTTTTTAAAGTTATAATTTAACAGTTAAAATAAACTCATTAAGACCTCACATCCCTTTGAACCAGAGAAATGGAAGCCCTTCATTTAACGGCCTCAGGTGTAAAGTTGCAAATGCTATGCTTACATGTGCAATGCTTCCTATCTTTTTAGAGTACGCAGTTACTTCATGCATTGAAATCAGATGTATGCACGTTTTAAATATTAAACATCTTCCTGCGAATTCAAAAGTCAGACATTACTTTATGCCCAGTAGCAAGACATGGTTTGCTGCTTTCTGGATAGTCATCAGTGACGATAGCAGTGAGTACATGCATTTTCTGTACAAATGTACCCTTTGGCGCTTTTAAGTAAAAAATGTGCAAACAGTTTTGATAACGACTGAAGACAGGCTGAAACAAAGTATCTCAATCTAATCTCCTTCTGGCTTCTACAGATTTATCTATTTTCAGAAGCATTGCCTTTCATCCTGACCTCCTTTATTGTAAATCCATATAGAGGTGTGTCCTTGTTGCCTGATCTACTCATAATGATATATTTGATCATCTTAAATCAGGATTACTTGCCCTAATTTGCCAGCTTATTCTCTGTTAGGATGTTAAACAAAAAGCTTCTGTGATGTGATAAATGCTTTACAATTGCAATAATTCAGAAGCTATAAGTCTTTCTAAATCATGGTCTGCAGTAATTGAGCCTTAAAGATAGCCATTGTCTGAAGAGGCACATCAAGCTTTTCTTGTTAAACTAGAAAATGTGATCTACCATAGCAGATGGCAGGTTATTGATGCATAAAAAATATAAAAATATATTTTCATAATGGCCAATTTGAAGTAAAAAGGCTTAGTGGGAAGTTCTGACATTTCGATATTTGTATTTTGCATTACCTAGTAAGAATGTATAATAGTATGGATAACTGAGAAATAAACAACATGGGTTCATGGCATCACAAAATTAACACAAACACTGAATATTTATGAGACACAGTTGATTTAAAGCTGAAAAATATATAAGTATATTCCTTCAACATGATATGACATTGATGTTTAAAGTTACCTGCAGCATTTAAGAAGGGGTAATTTTATATTGATAAGCATATACATACAATATTCTATTTATTTTCTTAACTCTGTCACTTATGGTTATTTTTATACTTTTCTAAGGTCCATATGACTACTTTTGCTATAGCTTTTGCTGCGGCTGTAACACCACGATTTCCCCATCATGGGACAATAAAGGGATTTTCTATTCTATACCTAAGATAATTAACACAGGCTTTAAACAGGAGTATTTTTTTTAATTGCTAGCTTAGCTATTCTTATCCTATTATTTGGACTCCAGGTTTAGTTAATTAAAATACTTGCTCAATCAGTTGAGTTGTTTTTTTCTTATTGTTGTTGTTCAAACATGCAGTCAGTGACAAACGCTGTAAGTGTCATATTGCACTGTATATCCAAATACCAGAAATTTTTTCAAAACGCATATCACTGTTATTGAATAAAATTATATCACAATATAGATTGCTATTGAATTATTATCCAGCCCTTACGTGTAAGAAACGGTCATGTACACGTTGAAACATAAAATTGGATCGTTGTGGACAGACACTAGAAACGTGAAAACACTTTTCCCACTACACAAATCTCATCTTTGTAAGCTTATATTCGAGACTGAATAAAGCTTAAACGTTTCTCTATTTGTTACCATCAATTCAATGAGACCAAAAAACCTTTTTCTGGTAAAAAAAAAAAAAAAAAAGACAATTCAGATTTCCATACAAATAAAAGCTGCAAACTATTCTTTTCAATTCTTCACAAAAATAATAATAAAAACCCCTTTGTGAGAAATTACTGTGTGTAAATTTGTACCATCTAGCACTGGTTCTGGGATTGCCTATATATAAACAGTAAATTACAAGTCAAATATACTTTGTCTTAGCAATTTCCACACTATCTCAGTTGAAACTAGACTATATTGCTAGGCACCAAATAAATAAATCAAGCTCCTTGTCAAATAATATTACATTTTGCACCTTCTATGCTAACTTGGGTAGCGCTCCCCAAATTCCACCAGCATGTAAAGTGCGCTACAAGAAAGGCTCGCACTCTGGACAAAGTCTACTCCAACATTAAGCTTGGCTATAGTGCTAGACCACTTCCACATAGGGCTGGGTATTGTTCAAAAATTTTCGGTTCCGGTACCATACTTTTTTCGATACCAGTTTTATAATATCAATTCGAAGAAAAAGAAAATTACACAACATAAAAAAGTACAAATTTTGAGTTTTATTTTAAGCTCTGATTTTTTCCATTTACATTTTTCCTCTTACATAAAAAAAAAAAAATCAGTGTCTAATATTCACTGTTACATTGTGAGGACCTTTTTACTTAGCAGTTTTCCTTTAGAAAAATTACCATGTCTGACAAACAAGCCCGTTGAATGGGATCCTACTGACAGCGCACCGCTGGTATGTGGGGGTCTGAGTGGCTCCGACAGAAATATTGGAAGGCGGGATGAACTGACTGCACTGATTAAGTTTTCAGGTGGATTTTCCCCCTTAAAAAACATAATAATACTACTTTA